AGAGAGAGAGAGAGAGAGAGAGAGAGATATTGTATACTTTCTCCTAAGGAGCCCTGGTAATTAAGCAGTTTACGCTGCTAAAGAGAGATTTCAACAAACACTGGTAAGGAGCTGTGCTGTCAACCCAAAGGCACACAGTTCAAATCCACTAACTGTTCTGCAGAGTAAGATGGCCATACACTTATCAAGCTATTTAATGCTTCTGAAAAACAGCTGGAAAACCATTTATGGGTTCCTTCTAATTCAATAGTTCTCAACAATTGCAATGAGTGACCTGGTGAGTAAATGGCTCTTCAGGAAAAAACTCAGAATAACTCACTATTCTCAAGTGGAAACCAACATATAACTGACCATCCATTGTGTTGCTAAAGTTATAAACTTCATAAGAGGAGATTGCCCATTTTTCTTCCAAGGAGACACTGGTAGATCCAAATACCCAGAAAGATGCTACTTTTGCACTGTAGTGTAACTCCCTACAAACTGTGTCACTGGAACTCCCTTTTTTGGGGTACAACACTATCTGTTGATTTGTTTTCCCTGTTCTGCAACTGATTCAGGGACATACAACACCATTTCCTTTAATTTTACATTGTTTCACTTTCATATATCAATCCAAAACTTTCTAGTTCAACTCATAGTCACTTTTTAGGACAGAGGAGAACTTTCTCAGTGTGGTTTCCAAGGTTACTAACATTTACTGGAGCAGACTGTTTAATCTTTCTCTTGAGGTACACATCTACTGACATATCATTTAACAGACAAATGCTTGATCCACATCACTAGGACTTATGAGCCACAACTCCACTGTTGTGGACTGTTTTCAATTCATAGCAGCACTCCATATGGTTACCTAAGCTATAATTTTTTACAGGAAGAGACTGCCAATTTCTCTTCGAATATAGTATATTAAAATTGTATACCTTTCCTTTAGCAGAGTTCAACATCCAAAAAGCAAGTACACCCTATATATTAGTTGAGTGTTTTTCTTGGATTCAGGATTATTTACTGTAATATTACTATAATACAATACTTACTATTAGAGTATTAATTGACTACAAAATTTTTGTTGTTGTTGTTGTTGTTAGGGGCTGTCGAGTTTATTGTTCATTATAAACAAGTGTTCTGGAATTCCCATTATTCTCAATGTTAGCCATAGTTTGTTATGATTCACACAGTAAAATTGCATAATCAATAAAACACAAGTAGACATTCTTCTAGAATTCTGTGCTGTTAGCTAAGATCCATTTGATATCAGCAATGGTACTTTTAGCATTAGTCAGAAGGTAAGGAGACATATAGCTTTGGAAAGTCTATTGTCAAGGACCTCTCCAAAGTCCTAAAGAACAGTGATGTCAATGTAAAGACTAAGATATGGCGAATTCAACCCTCTCTGAGAGCTACACAAAGAATAAAGATGACAGAAGAAAAACTGATTTTTTTCAAGTTTCGTGTTGGAGAAGATTATTGGATACCCCCTTAAACTGGGAAGAAGAAAAAAAAACAAAACACACAACACCAAAAAACAAAAACAAAACATACGGAAAGTTCAACTAGAATTCTTCTTAGAGACAAGGATGGAAAAGCTTTGACTCTCATAATTTGGGCATATTATTAGGAAGAGTTAATTCTTGGAAATAGACATCATGATTCGAAATCATGGTGGAGTGTCCACAAAAGAGAGGAAGACTATCAGTGAGACTGAGGCAATTGGCTCTTGTTTGTTGGGGAAGATACAGGTGAATCAGGATAGGTCAAGTTTCAGATATGTTGTTCATAAGGTCTCTGAAAATCATACTTAACCTGATAGCACCTGGCAAAAACATAAATATAGGCAGATAGATAGATAGATAGATAGATAAGTAGATATTATAGATAGATATACAGATTCAGAAAAAGAAACCAATATTGAGGTGACAGTTATTCTTTCTGTCAGCATTGTCTGGAGAAACAGAACTTGTAGTAGAATAAGTAGAGATAAAGATAGAGATAGATAGAGATAGT